AATTTTTCTCTCTTGACAGCTGTAGACTTCCTTCTTTTTTTGTTTTTTTTAAGATTGGCACCTGAGCTAACAACTGTTGCCCATCTTTTTTTTTTCTTTCTGCTTTTTCTCCCCAAATCCCCCCAGTATGTAGTTGTATATATTTTAGTTGTGGGCCCTTCTAGTTGTAGCACATGGGACGCTGCCTCAATGTGACCTGATGAGTGGTGCCATGTCTGTGCCCAGGATCCGAACCAGCAAAACCTTGGGCCGCCATAGTGGAGCATGCGAACTTAACCACTCGGCCACGGGGCCGGCCCCAAGACTTCCTTCTTCTTTTTTTTTTTTTTTTTTTAAAGATTTTATTTTTTCCTTTTTCTCCCCAAAGCCCCCCAGTACATAGTTGTATATTCTTCGTTGTGGGTCCTTCTAGTTGTGGCATGTGGGACGCTACCTCATCGTGGTTTGATGAGCAGTGCCATGTCTGCGCCCAGAATTCAAACCAACGGAACACTGGGTCACCTGCAGGAGAGCGTGCGAACTTAACCACTCTACCACAGGGCCAGTCCCAAGATTTCCTTCTACTGAAGGCAAAGATTCACCCTTTACACCCATGCACACTCACCATTCACACACACTCACACATACATACTCTCACTGACACATAGAGTTCTCCACTATTCCCTAGTTAGAATTACATCACAATTTTTCGTTAAATCAATGTATAATATTTTCATTACTCTGACTTTGTAAATGTTATTCATAGCTGAGCTGTGTAGTGTACTATAATTATATTTCCTTTTTTATATAACATCTGGTTTTCCCTAGAATTAATAATTGCCTTCATCAAAATTTTTTTGGCTTATTTTTCTGAGTGCCTATTCTAATTCACTCTCAAATTCTCTATTAGAGGTATAAAGCTTCCTATCAATACCTTTTCATGGACATCAGGGGACTTATCAATTTCACTTTTTCTTGGCAAAATATTTCCAGGATCTCTTTATACTCCTGCTTCATCTAGGTTGGTTGCTCTCATTCTGAGATTGATTTTCACTGTCATTTCAGGAGGTCCTTTCCCCACCCTTCTTTGTTGGATCTGCTATTTCCTGGACCCCATGTCTTCCTTGTTTTAGTTTATTCCTTAGTTTTGGGGAAGCATATGCTCCATCAGCTTTTCTGAGGACACATGCCTGAGAGGCCAATTCTTTAAGACCTTGCATGTCTGTAACATTTTTATTTTCTCAGTTAGATATGGCTTACAGTTTAGCAATAATTTTCCCTCAAATTGAAGGCATTGCTCCATTGTATTCTAGCTTCTGGTGTTGCTGTTGAGAAGTGTGAAGTTATTATTATTCTCAATCCTTTAAATATGGCCTGCTTCTCTCTCTCTCCTTTTCCACCTAAATCAGGCTATAAAACACAAACAAATTGTGTCCTAAAACAGGACACAGACAAATTGGGTTTGTGGGAGAAAAATGCCCAGGGATGAAGGGAGAGAAACTAAATTCCAAATGGAAGGCTTAGACTTGAGGTCCCTGCTGCATGTCAGACACCACTCCTCTATAAAAAGGGGACACATGACTGGAGTGTGGCTCCCAGGTCCTGGTCCCAGTTTCACATCTCTTCAAGATAAACAATCTCAGGGGCCAGCCCCGTGGCCGAGTGGTTAAGTTCACACACTCTGCTGCAGGGGCCCAGTGTTTCGCCGGTTCGGATCCTGGGTGCCAACATGGCCCTGCTCATCAAGCCATGCTGAGGCGGCGTCCCACATGCCACAACTAGAAGGACGCACAACTAAGAATATACAACTATGTACCGGGGGGCTTTGGGGAGAAAAAGGAAAACATAAGATCTTTTAAAAAAAGATAATCTCATCAATGTCCTGCCTTTTTTCATCATCCAATTACTCAGCTGACCTGAACTGGTGTATCTGTCTTTAGATGGGTAAATTGTTATATGATTATATAACCCCAAAATGGTTTAGCATTAAATAGGAAAAATAAGCTAAATCAAACCCATAGTACTAATATTTTTAGTACCAACCTTACAGTGTAAGACAATCTGCGTGTGTTTGTCATTTATGTGAAGTGTCTGTAATAAAAACAGAAATTATACTCTTTAGAGAACCTGACAGATTACCTTGTGATTTCAATTTGAAACGCACCATTGATTTTATACTTGTGAATTTAAAGTGGAGGTGCAAGAGAATTTGGTTGTGAACATTTTCTCCAATGGAGCACACCTAAGGAAGCTTTGAGCAGGGCTCACACTTGTGGGGAGGTCAGTGGGAAGGGGTACATTCCATCTCCACACCAGCTCCCAAATTATGTGGACTCTTCAAACAGGTTCATATTTCTTGGGTGCCTACCATGTCAGGGGTTGTGTGTGCTGAGCACTAAGAATACGGTAGTGGGCAAAAAAGCCTCCCAGTACACAGTTGTATATTCTAGTTGTAGGTCCTCTTGGTTGTGCTATGTGGGATGTCGCCTCAGCATGGCTTGATGAGCGGTGCCGTGTCTGCACCCAGGATCTGAACCTGTGAAACCCTGGGCCTCCAAAGTAGAGTGCACAAACCTAAACTGTTGCCACAGGGCCGGCTCCTCACTTCTCTTTTCTTGTTCTTGTTGTTTCTAAACTGTTATGATGAGGTAACCAAGTGACTGCTCTCCAGAGCAGTGATTTCTAACCTGTGCACCAACACCCTCGGGGGGACTCAAGGTCATTCAGAGGGTCCTCAAGTTCAGGGCATGCTTTCTTGATGGATGCTGAAAGTATTATCATCTATTTTATAGAGACTGCAAAATTTTTAAAAATTTAGTTTACATTACAAAAGGATCCTCCTACTTGAAAGGTTGGAAATTGTGTATTACTAAATGCTAAATATAAATTACAAGAGGTTATGTGTGTATAAGTTAAGATTATGTGTAGATTGGCAGAGGCTGGGGGGCACAGGGAAATAGCAGAATTTGGAGTCTAAAGGATCCATAGGAAAGGGGGAAGTACCTTTATATGCACATGCCACATAGTCATGAGTCTCGCAAGGACTTGGTAAGATGAGAGTGGGAGTAGAAAAAGTTGTGTACTTATTTCCAGGCCCTAGAAAGGAAAGCGCTCCAATGACATTTCCCTAAAGGTTGGAGATTGCATTGTGTTTTTGGCAGGATTCAACTGATACCTCAAACGGGTCCAAACTGTATTGATTTCAAAACAGCATGTGGACAAACCCCAGGGATTCACTTAGAGTTCAAGTTGGAGGGTAGAAAAAGGGTTGTTTAAGCCCAACTTGAAGCCTGAGCTAGAGAAACAGGAGAAGGGAATGAGAGAGAGAGAGAGCCCCAGTCCGTGGTCTGGCCCAGGCCAGTTACCTCTTAATTCCTTCATCTGTAAAATGGAAATAACACCTCTTTGGCTTGAATGAACCAATGAACGTGAAGATTCCTGGAGGAGCACTTCGCATCAATGGATGCCAGTCTTATACATATACGTCTCCTCTTTGATCCAGCAATTCCACTTCTGCATTTGTCCTGTAGCTACTCCTCCTCCAATGAAACCATGCATGCAAAAGTTTACTTCTTATATCATGTGTCATAGCAAAAAATTGCAAATAACCTATATGCCATATGTATTAGTTTTCCTTTGCTGTATAATACATCACCACAAATTTAGCTTAAAGCAACACCCATTTCGTAGCTCACAGTTCTATCAATCAGAGGACTGGCATGGTGTGGCTGGGTTCTCTGCTCAGGGTATCACAAAACTGAAATCAAGCTGTTGGCTGGGCTTGGTTCTCATCTGGCCAACTAAGGAGATGAATCTATTTCTGAGGTCACCCTTATTGTTGGCAGAATTTTGTTTCTTGTGCTGGTAGGCTTAAGGATGCTGTTTCCTTGCAGGATGGCAGCCAGGCCCACTCTCAGCTCCTAGAGGTCACCTGCATTCTTTGCCATGAGACACCTGCATCTTCAAGCCAGAGCATCAAATCCTTCTTGTTATTTGAAGCTCTGACTTCCCTCTTGTGACCAGCTAGAGAAAACTCTCTGCTTTTAAAGGGCTTGTGTGATTAGGTCAGGCCCACTGGGTAATTTCCCTATCATAGGGTCAATGATTTAGGACTTGAATACACATACAAAATCCTTTCACAGCCTTACCAAGAATAGTGCTTGGTTGAACAACTGGGAGAAGGTGTGTGTACACCAGGGGCCAAGAACCTTGGTGGCCATCTTAGAATTCTGCCTATCACATCATAGGAAGCTGAATAAAATCCTGGGCCCATCCACACAATGGAGAACTATGCTGCAGTAATAAAGGATGAGAAAGGCCTCTCTGAACTGCTCTTGTGTGATTTCCAGGATACATTATATATTCTTATGTGAAAAAAGCAAGGTAGAATAAAATATGCTACCTTTGATGTGAGAAAGAAGGAGAAGTAAGAAAAAATACATACATTGTGGTAGACAGCCTCTCAGATGGCCCAGTGATCCTTGCCTTTTGGTATTCATGACCTTGTGCAATCCTTTCCCCTTGAGAGTGGGCTAGCCTTATTGACTTCCTTCCGGCAAATAGAATATAGCAGAAGTAGTGAGATGTCAGTGTTAAATTAGGTTGCAAAAAGACTACGGCTTCCATCTTGGAATCTCTCTCTCTTTCTTTTTCGTCTCTCTCTCTAGGGCAGAGCAAGCTGCCATGTTGTGAATAGTCTTATGGGGAGACCACAATGGAGGGAACTGATAAATCTGGCCGTTGTGGGTTGAATTGTGTCTCCCAGAGAGACATGTTGAAGTCTTAACCCTCCTGGTACCTCTGAATGTGACCTTATTTGCACATAGGTTCTTTACAGATGCCATCAAGTTAAAATGGGGTCATACTGGATTAGGGCCAACCCTAATCCAATGACTTGTGTCCTTATAAGCAGCAGATTTGGACACAGAGATACAGAGGGAAGGATGCCACTTTAAGGCAGAGCCAGAAATTGAAGTGATGCAACTGCAAGCTAAGGAAGGCCAGGGATGGCCGGCAACCTCTAGAAGCTAGGAGAAAGGCAAGGAAAGATTCTCCCTTAGGGGCTCCAGAGAGATTGTGGCCCTGCCCACATCTGGATTTTGGACTTCTAGGCTTCAGAACTGTGAGAGAATTTATTGCTGTTTTGTAAAAGCCATGCAGTTTGTGGTAATTTGTTATGGTAGCCCCACGAAACGAATACACTAGCCAACCACCAGCGAGTTCCTAAGGTCTGCCAACAGCCATGTAAATGAGCTTGCAAGAGGATCTGCTGAGGCCTGCCAACAGCCGGGCTGAGTGAGCGTGGAAGCGGACCCTCCCCCAGCCAAGCCTTGAGAGGACTGCAGCCCCAAGTGACACCTTGATTTCATTCTTCTGAAGACCTGGAGCAAGACTTGCCTAGCAAAGCCCCTCTGAGATTTCCGACCCACAAAAACTGGGAGGTAATAAGTCTTTGTTGTTTTAAGCTGCTAAGCTCAGTTATACAACCAAAGATAAATAATAAAGATACATGTATATCTATGGTCTTAATTTGGGGGGATGGATGAATAAACTGGAAACTAATGACAATGGTTACTGGTAGGAGGTATGTGGGAATAGAGGGAGGGGATGGGAAGTGAGTGCTACTCCTCTGAGTATAACACTTGTAAGATTTGATTTTGAACCAGGTGGATGCTTCATATATTCAAAGAATGAAATTAAAGGGGCTGGCCCCATGGTGTAGTGGTTAAGTTCGGCACGGTCCACTTCAGTGGCCTTGTTTCACGGGTTCAGCTCCTGGGTGTGGAACTACACCACTCATTAGCCATGCTCAGGCAGTGACCCACATATAAAGCAGAGGAAGATTGGTATGGATGTTAGCTCAGGGCTAATCTTCCTCAAGCAAAAAAAAGAGGAAGATTGGCAACAGGTGTTAACTTAGGGTGAATCTTCCTCAGCAAAAAAAAAAAAAAAAAAAAAAAAAAAGAAAGAAAAGAAATAAAAAAGAGGAAAAAAGAAAACTTTAAAATTGATGCTAATAAAAATGGCAAACCTAAAAACATATGAAATCAATAACATAACCATATGGAAAAGCAAATTAATTCAAGTAACTTTTGAATATAGTACTCTAACCACACACATTTAGAGTGATGTATTATAAATATAAAAAGAACTGCAAAGAAATCTTAAACTTAGAAGGTTTGTTGCTGGTGGCAGTACTGGTGCATAAGTCTCCACTATTTTGTGTATATTGTAGGATAGAAAAAATAGGTAACTATATTGATGCTGACAGGAATCAGGGTTTTCACTGTGGGAGAGGAAAGATATCAATATAGAAAGAGGAAGGCTGGAGTGAACCCAATGGTGTTGGATTTTGAGTTGAAGGTATCAGTATAAACTCATGATTTACATCTATATCTGAGTGAAGGGAATACTGTTTACTGTTTTATATCTATATCTATATCTATATCTGTATCTATATGCTTTGTCCACTGAAAGGGCCTAGAAGAAATGACATCCCAGTAGCAATGAGCATACCAAGTACTCAGATACGATTTCTAAGTGCCATTTCCTACTAAAAGGAACTAGGGTTTTGCTGCTGAGGGCAGAGAAGACAAAGTGAGAGCTAGTAGGTCTTGTGTTAGAAAGCAAGCAAGAGCTCAAAGGTTGATAGGACATGTGTAAGGATAAAGGAGCCAGATGTGTGGACTTCCACTAGCCAGATATGGGCAATTTGAGCACCAAAAATTATAAGGGTATTTGATTAAAATAATTGAATTAAATTGAATTTACAAGACTCTGGGAATCCACACTGTTATTCAAGACGAAGGAGGAGGGGGAGGGGAATTGTGAAGGGGAGGAGGATAAAGAGAAGAAAAGAAAAAAAAGAGAAATGGAGAAAGAGGGGGAGGGGTACTCTTCTTCAGACAGGATTGACAGCTAATTAAATGAAAGGAGTGAAAGAATTAGAAAACCACTTTATAACCAATGCGATGTGTTCATCAGTGCGTGCTGCCACATTGGGTGAAAATATGCACCTGGTTTCACCCGATCACTGTAACCACAAGACCAGTTTAAAGTGACCCCATTTTATCCACAATGGAATGTTAAAGCTGTCTTGCAGGGGCAATGAGTCAAAATGGTAAGTCATGTAGCCAGAGTATGCATGGAGGAGAAAATTTTGACCCGAAATAACACCTGGAACCAAAGATTCCCCCTCTCCTCATGGAACCAAGGGACTGGGACATGACTGGAACTCAAAAGCAAGGACCTTATCGGAAGTAAGGAGTCTGTTGTCCAGGAAGATCTGGTGTTAAAGCCCCTTTTCATACCTTACCATCAATGGTCTTGTTCAAAGCCCTTCCAGTCAAAATCTGGGCTGCCAGCACTTCCAAATACCAGCCTGCCATCCCTAATCCCTTAAATTTAACCCCAAACTCTGGATTGGGGAGACAGATTTGAGAGCCTTGCCTCCTGTCTCCTTGTTGGTCAACTTTGCAATAAAGTTCTTTCTTGTCTCAAAAGCCGGAGCCGTAGTATTGTCTTCCATGCACCTTGGGTAGTAAGCCCTTGTTTGGTAATAATTTCTGGTGACCATGAAGGGACCTCGGTCTTGTGACTGCCTGCCCGAGGCTCTGTAGCCCTCAATGGGGTGTGGTTGCTGCGTTCTGGTTGCTGACCCTAAGTGGTCGTCTATACAACTTTGTTTAGAGGTTCGGCCGGTTGGATTCCCATTTCCCACCATGGCACTCCAGGCTCTTCAGCACTTTCTTCATTTTTGCAAATAGAAACTGCTTGTGGATCAAGATATCTCTGGGTGAGTAACGAGTAACTTTAAGAAGTAACTGTCCCTTACCTCATCTCTCTGGTTTGATCCCCTGAAAATGTAAGTTTGACTTGTATTCTTGGGAATCCTGGTGGGCTGAGTCCTGAATCTTGGGCCTGGACCACCAAGATAATAAGAGACAGGATAAAAGTTTAACTCATGAGTTACTCTTGGTGGTCTAGTTAGCATTCTGATCTGTGTTATATGTAGAATTGTGTGTTAATGTTTGTCTAAACTGAATTGGCTGTTTGGGTACTGAGTTTCTTGGTGACCGTAACCAAACCTCCTTTAGAAATTAACTTTATGAGGGTCTTCTGACTCTGAGGAAAGGGGCGCTGTTCCCTCCAGTCCTTGGGGACATTCCCAGGTGACTGGAATTTTAGGGAGGCGTCAGGGCATCTGCCCATGATGTGTAGCAGCCTCATAGGGACGCCCTTTTGAAGAACCTCTCTTATCGGGACTTCACGCTTCCTGGTAAAGCAGTTGGCAGTGGCAGCTCGTCCAGTGGCTTACTCGCCTGAACTTTGTTGTGCCAAAATACATAAGAGAGACAGGTGACCCCTTGCTTATTCTTAAGGGAGCTGTTCCCACAAGCAACACTATCAGACTCTAAACACTACCCCCTACAAAGACCTTGTTTATTGTGGCCACCTTGAAAAAAGCCCCCTAAAATGGGAAATGTAAATAGTATACCAAATTGCAGCCCATGGGAATGCATTCTTCAAAACTGAGCAGTGTTCTGTTATGAGCCCATGAAGAAAAAGAGAATGATTTCCTTTTGTAATACAACCTGGCCCCAATTGGGGTCAGATGAGATGTGCCTGAGAATGGGTCTCTGAACTATAAAACCATCTTGCAATCAGACCTATTCTGTGAAAGGGAAGAAAAACGGAATGAGATTCCCTTTGGGCAATCTTTTATGTTATTATACCAAAATAAGAATTTGCAAAAGAGATGTAAGGTTCTGAGTCAGAGGGAGGATCCACAGAAAAAACCTATCCTCCTAGAATCAAAGTCAGATGATATGTCCTTCCTCATTTGCTATCCCCTACAGAGCCTCCATTGTATGCTGGGGATGGGATTGGAGGTGACCAAGGAGGGCATACTGATTCTCCTAAAGCCACTGGTTTGACTTTGTACCCCCATTTACCTAATAGTCAGACAGGAATTATCTCTCTTGCTCATCCCCATTGGTGCACTCAATTTGGCCCAGGGAAGGCTCCAACCCAGGCAGGGCACTTCTCACTAAGATAAGCTCCTGCAGGCCTCCATGACCAAGGCCAGCCTTTTCAACTTTGGACTTATACAATTGGAAGAAAAATGCACCTGTTTACCAAGATGATCCCAAAAAGATGGAAAGTTTATTTACATCCATCTTTGGGACTCAATCTCAATTGGGCTGCCAATCAAGCCCTTATGAACATCCTCTTCACCCCAGAGGAACGTAGGATGATACTGGAAAGGGCTCTTCAGGAGGCCAAGAGGCTTCATGAGTTAAACCTCAATGATCCAGTTAAGGTATAGGCCATGCCTGGTATTAAGCCAGGCTGGAACCCCATTGACGAGACAAAATTAAACAGTTACAAAATATGTTTAAAATATGTTTAAATATGTTTAATAAGTGGAATGTAGAAGGGGGTCCCCAAACCAAAGAGCCTAAATAAGGTCCAGGAGGTATAACAGGGACCAAAAGAAAAAGCTTCAACTTTCCTAGAAACAGTCTTTGAAGCCTACAGAAAGTATACTGATATTGACCCGGGACATCTGGATAACATGAGGCTGATCAATATGACGTTTATCCACCAGGGTGCTCCTGATATAAGGAAAAAGTTACAAAGATTGGAAGGGGTTTTGGGGATGCCCATGTCTCAACTTGTTGAGATTGCCTTTAAAGTGTTTAACAGCCACCACCAGGTACAAGAGAAACAGAAACAAGCAGAAGATGTGACAGCAAGCTGCCCTACTTGCTATAGCCCTCAGTCCCAATCCGCCAAGGCCAGTGAGAAAAGACAAACAGCCAGGAGTAAGACCTCCTGGGCCCCCACCTTCCAACTGCAAGGGACACTCAGTCCTGGGGCCAAGACAATGTGCTTATTGTAAGCAGGAAGGCCATTGGAAAAGGAATGTCCCAACCGTTTTTGGAAGTCAAGAGAGGAGACCAATGGCCTAACCACCAGATGCCCCAATTTGCTGACAGTGACCAAGAATGATGGGGCCCAGGGGCTCCTCTAGACTCCATCAGCACCATTGACGTTTCCCACAAGGAGCCCCGGGTGATAATTGCTGTGGGAAAAAAACATACACTTTGTAATCGACACTGGAGCTATTTATTCTGTACTAAACACCAGACAGGGCTCCCTCTCCCCCAAGACCACATCCATTACTGATGTTTCTGGGGAAGTCTCTCATGAGCCTTTCCTACAACCGCTCGAGTATCACATGGGGAAAACATATCTAAAACACAGCTTTCTATATATGCCTGAGTGCCCTATTCCACTGTTGGGATGAGATCTATTAACAAAATTAAATGCCCAAGTGACTCTTTCACCAGAAAAAGTAGACATTAAAATCCTCCCAGGGTGGCCTGGTGGCACAGCGGTTAAGTTTGTGTGCCCACTTCAGTGGCCTGGGGTTCGCCGGTTCCAATCCTGGGTGCAGACATGGCATCGCTCATGAAGCCATGCTGTGGCAGGCGTCCCACATATAAAGTAGAGGAAGATGGGAACGGATGTGAGCTCAGGGCCAGACTTCCTTAGCAAAAAGAGGAGGATTCACAGCGAATGTTAGCTCAAGGCTGGTCTTTCTCAAAAAAAAAAACAAGTCCTAGATCAAGCCTCTGCCCTCCAAGCGGTGCTGTTGCAACTGGGAGACAAGCCTCAATTGGGAGTCCCTGAAGAAATTCTGCCAAAGGTAAGAGTGGACATGCAGGCTGACAGGAGGCCAGGAAGAGCCAAGGGGCTGACCCAATAGTAGTAAAATTCTGCCCAGACTCCAAGACTCCAAATTGGAAACAATATCCTTTAAAGAGACATAGGAAAAAAGGTATAAAGCTCTGATAGCCACCTTTCTTAAATGCCAATTAATCTGACCCTGTCAATCCCCGTATAACACTCCCATCCTGCCAGGACAAAAACCTGGGACTGGAGACTATCGTTTTGTACAGGATTTGAGAGCCATTAATCAAATTGTAGAGGCTATACATCCGGCAGTGCCAAATCCTTATACTTGGCTTAGAACTTTATCTGGAGACTTCTGCTGGTTTATAGTTCTGGACTTAAAGGATGCCTTTTACTGCATACCCCCCAAGTCCTGAGGCCCAGAACCTGTTTGCCTTTGAATGGGATGATCCAGAGGCTAACGCAAAACACTAATATTGCTGGATGATACTCCAGCTCTAAGGATTTAAAAATGCCCCCATCATCTGCAGGGGAGCTTAGCCAAGGACTTAAGGCATCTTCAGTTAAGTGAGGGGGTCTTACTGGATGTGGATGACATACTAATTGCTAGTAAAATTAAGGAAGCTTCAGACCAAAATATAGTCCTTATTTTAAACTTTCAGGCAGAACGGGGATACAAAATCTTCAAAAGAAAGGTGCAAATTTCTCAACCAACTGTAAAATGCCTAGGATTTGAGTTATCAAAAGGATGAAGAAACTTATTCCTGGATCGAAGGGAGGCATTAGCTACAGTGGCTGTACCCACCACCAGAAGACAATTGTGAGGATTTTTTAGGAATGGCTGGGTTCTGTTGTATTTGGATCCCTAATTTTGGACTCATGGCCAAACCTCTACATGAGGCTCTTAGAGGAAATGACAATGAGCCATTAAGCTGGACTGCAGAATACCATAAGGTGTTCCACACCATCAAGGAGAAACTTAACAGCCCCAGCACTTGGTCTCCCAGACATTAGAAAGCATTTGATCTTTTTGTACATGAACAACAGGGCGTAAGTCCTCGGGTGCTAACTCAGAATTGAGGTGCTGCCAGAGGCCAGTAGCTTAGTCTTCCAAACAATTGAATATTGTAATGCAAAGGTGGCCAGTTTGCCTCTGGGCTGTAGCTGCAACCTGTGACCTTTTACAAGAGGCTGAAAAATGTACCCTGGGCCAACCTACTACTGTGCACACTCCATATTGTGTGCTGCCTCTACTTGAAAAACAAAGGTGAATACTGGCTTACTTTAGGGAGACTGGGCAAATGTCAGGCCATACTATTGGACAACCCGAATGTAATATTACAGGCAGCATCCACTCTACACCCAGCCACTCTGCTCCCCATTGTGACAGGAGAACATGTCTATGGTTGTATACAAATAATTGAAGAAGCTTATTTTAGCAGACCCTACCTTACTGGTCAGCCTTTAGAGAATCCAGATATGGAAATGTTTACTGATGGGAAATGTTTACTTCATGGACCGTGGACTTCGAAAGGCCAAGTATGCGATAGTAACTCATCAGGAGGTCCTAGAAGCCCTCCCTCCAGATACATCTGCTCAGAAGGAAGAGCTCATAGCCCTCACAGGAGCCCTGCATCTTGGAGCTAAGAGAAAGGTAACCATTTATACTGATTCTAAGTACACCTTCCGTTGGGCATGTACAGGGGCCATATGGAAAGACGGGTCTACTCACATCAGGAAGGAAAGAGATTAAACACCTGGAGGAGATACTGACCTTATTTGATTCAGTTATGATGCCAGAAGAAGTGGCCATAATACACTATCTGGGCCACCAGAAGACTGCTAGTTATATAGCAAGAGGAAATAATTTGGCTGATCAGGCTGCAAAACAAGCATCCAGAACTAAAAACCCAAGTCCTAAGCCCCTCACACTCATTCCAAGTGTGGATTTGTCTCTCTTTAAGCCTCAGTATTCAGCAATGGATCTAGACAGAGCAGATGAATGGGGATCTCATGGTGACTCTCAAGACTTATACAGCGATCAGTAACAAACAACCAAAGAAGGCTGGATTTATAATGAACAGGGACTAGTGC